AGAGAGAGAGAGAGAGAGAGAGAGAGAGAGAGAGAGAGAGGAAAACAACTATTTTAAGGTGATATTAGAAGCAAATAAATACATTAAACATAAGAAGGGAGCACTGACCTAGTTTACCAGGCTTAAATAGTGCCAAGGAATGCCCTGACTCCTAATGATCTTGTTTAAATGAACTTCATTCTAACTTTAGAGGATATATTGCTTTTTGTAGAAGTTCTCTGTCCTACTTGGAAGTGACTGAGAACCAAAATTTGCTGACTCATAGTATGTCAGCAGAACATATGCCAGCTCTGATAATTTGCCAGGAACTCCCTGTTCCTCCTCATATGATGTGTAGGAAACAGTTATAAAATGTTACATTACAATGCTTTCTCCTTCAAGTCCTTCCCGTAGAGGTTGTATTTTGCTGCGATGTAATTGAGAATGGCTCGCGACTGCACCAGCTTCATCCCATCAATTTCCACCATGGGCACCTGTTCAAAAAGCAGGTATCCATCTGGTAAAACGTAAAAAGGACATATTAATGGAAGGGTTCGTCACCCGTTTAGCATGGCAGATGATCTAGAGATGCATTTCATGTGTAATCTTCAGCAGAATCGTCTTAAGAGTTTTGATCTAAATATTAAGCCAGTGACACTCAGAAATATAGGGAAAATATTGAAATTCCGAGCACGCCTTATAAGAGAGGTGGAGAATGACAGTCCTTGTATGACGTTTGGGCTTCAAGTCCCAAAATTCCATGCTTCCTTGAAGTCCACAAGTAATAAGCGCATCGTTCACCACTTCTCTTATAAGGCATGCTCGGAATTTCAATATTTTCCCTATATTTCTGAATGTCACTGGCTTAATATTTAGATCAAAAGTCTTAAGACGATCCTGCTGAATATTACACATAAAATGCATCTCTAGATCATCTGCTGAATGTTACACACAAACACACACAGAGTAATGTTTTGCTCACCTTTTTTTAACTTCTGTAGATCTTCTTTTGAGTCAATGAATTGTTCGTCAAACTAGTAAACGGAAAAGACAAAAGATTTCCAAAATGATTTATATGTGTCAAATTCATTCCCAGGTCCGTCATCCCTGGCAGAGATTTGGTTAAAAGAAAAAAAAAAGTAACTCTACTCCAAGAAGAAATTGGAGAGCTGGATTCACTGAGTTAAGTTGTGACAATTGTGGCTAAAACCAGCCATGGCTAAGAGAAGCATAGGTTAACATGAGTTAGGAACCCAACAAATACGCCACAAACATAATGATGATAAACTAGTGGAAGTTAATCACTTAGTACATTTTAGGGGAGAAATATATGGGTTTCCATAATATCTTCATCAGGATGTTTGTAGCTTATCTGCCCATTACAGATTTGTATCTAAAATAGTGAAATAGTATATGTCAGAATTAATCAGCTGTTGTTTCTCCATCACATTAATTCATAATATTTAAGACTAGACAAGTTATTTTGATAATGAAGTTTAAAAAAAATCCCTCAAGTGGCTCTTCCTGAGAGTAAAAAATACAATTTGTTTTCCAAAGGTATTTAAAGTCTGTTTCCCTTGTTCCCCCATTTTCTTGGGGGTGGTGGGGGTGCATACAGTTCTCCGTTTGATCATCATAAATTCCTCCTAAACATTGACAGGCTCAGAGACCAAATCTGGACTCTTATCTTATTTCCCTCACATTAAATCATAAATCTGCTGACATCTAATTTGCCTAGGGCAGCTGTTTTAATAATAACAATAATAACTTAATGTAGGGGTCTTACAAGTGTAGATGTGTTGGTTGAAAATGGTAACATTCATCTTCAGAACTGAGAGAAACAGATTGTCCACATTGGCAGCAAATAGATTCCAAAACAAACATTATTAAGTAAGAGATGCTTTGAGGACTCACCTCAATCCCAGCTGCAGCCAAAATCCACCTTATGGTTTCCATTCTCCCTCTTCCGTTGAAGTAGTGAAGCTTGGGTTTCCCAGCCATGGTCTTACTAAACTGTTATCTTGTGTGGTGGAATGTGGTCTGGATTCCCAGGAGTGACGGAATGCATTCCCGAGGAATAAGAGACAATGAAATTTAGATCGTTGGGCTATTGAAGTGTGAGTGTTAAGATGCCTCCTAGCTATTCTCAGAGGGTCCCGTTAATAGCAATAGCAGTTAGACTTATATACCGCATCATAGGGCTTTCAGCTCTCTCTAAGCGGTTTACAGAGTCAACATATTGCCCCCAACAACAATCCGGGTCCTCATTT